AGTAGTGTGAGGTAGCGATGGAACTACATCAATCATAATTTGCTGTTTGAACTCATATTGGATCCACAAGGAGACCTCTAGAAAACGAGGGACTATCGAGACGTATTTTTTTGGAAATTTATTGGAGAGCGTGGGTGTGTGTGGATGTTCGCTTCTCTTTATCCATAGCCATACCCACACCCACACCCTCTCAAAATATTATTGTATCATAAGCATTGTCATACAATAAAAAGATGCCTAGTATAAATCCTGTCACATAATACCAAATAAATATATCCTACTAGATCTATTCGAAATATATTATTCAATCAGCAAGTTTATTATACAAAATAATCACAGCTTCAAGTCCTCATAAATTCCGAAACAGTAATAGATATCAGAATTATTTGATAAATCTCACAAAGACAAGTCTTGAAAATAGCTGTATCTATGGACAAATTACAGGTCGAAATTTTGTAAAATGGTCATAACTCGCCTTCAGAGATTCATTAACATAAACCTTTTAAAGCTTTTTCTAGTCCTACCGAGACTATCTTGTAGGCTCAATATGAGCTTAAACGGCAATTTACAGTTCGCGTAATTGTCTTGTAAGCATTCATATTTATGCAAGGTTCTATCGTCAACATTAATCAGTGTAATAAAATAAAATGAAGACTGTTGTGTCTATGTAAAGTTTGATTTCTTTTTTGTTCTAACTTATGCTTTTTGTATCTGTATATTTTTCTCATTTCTTTATTTATGAATATTTAGATTCTTTTCATAACTGCATGTATATGTTTCGTCATTTATAAAAATACTCAATAATATATTTCGTCTCAGATTCATATGTATTTGCTTCAATTAGCAATGACAGGCTTCTCGTTACTATTATTATCAATGTTGCATTCATATTGTAGAAAAAAAACCGTCTCTTTTATGCTTTATAAACTTTATTCTTTGTTCTAGGCGAATATATCCATAAGATGTAGTGCATCTCCTACTTTCTCATTATATATAATATATTTATAAACAAACGAAGTATGCCAATAAAAACGCAAAAACAAAGTGGAAGGCATCAATATGGGTTTCTACTGTTATTATAACCTAGATTTACATACCATTACTATATTATCATAAGTACCAATTTTAAGTTCATCTAATGTTTGATGAATAAAATGTGGTTGTGGTAAATCATAGATCTAATTAAAATAAAATATATAAAAATTAAAAAATAAAATTTATTAACATACGTAGAAATATAAAAATTTTAATATACGTTTATGAGTAATTAAAAATAAAAAATCATGTGTTAAAGGATCAATGACAGGTAAACGATGTATTTTACGATCAATTAATGTTAAAATAGCTGTATATAAACTAAATAAAGCATAATTTTTTTTCTCAAAATGAAAATAAACAATAAAATTTTTTTTTTACCTATCTTGTGGAGAAAGTTGAAATATATTGGAGCCAATAGATCCATTTTTAGTTCCATTTTGTTTAAGTAAATCATCTTTCCATTCAAGTATTGATGAAGTTTCCAGACTATCAACACTATTCTAAAATAAAAATAAATATTGAATTGAAAGTAAGTTTATCTCTTTTCAATAAATAAACAATATGAGTTAAAAATCTATCGGTATAGTAATCAACATTTTACTAACGAGGAAAGACCTTCAATCGATTAATTGCTTTTCAATCAAAATGATCTGGATTATATAGATGCAAATGAGTTATGAATACCTTGAAAAGAGTTCGTGACCTTAGCTTATTGCTGCAGATATACTGCACTTTTATGGTATTTTTTTTTAATGAATGCTGTTGTAGACGAAAGAATGATTGTCAAATTAAAACTTTGCATAAAGATAGATCTTAATGAGAGCAGTTTCAGATCTTTTGATTTATTTCGATCTTGAAATAAGAATATCCAATCTATTGATTTATATGAATAATGTAAAAAATATGCTATCACCATAGTTATATCTTAGGATAAGAACAGCGACAAGAGATGAAACACTTATGATAGACTATTCTCGTTAAGATCTCTCTTTCTCTATGCAAAGTTTCAAATCGAAATTCAAGGTTCAATTTTTCTGTTTCTATGGCGTTCATTTAAATAATATCGTAGAAGTGAAGTATCTCCGCAGCAATAAGTTAAGGACACGAATTCTTTTCACGGTATTCATATTTTATTTGAGTCTACATAATTCACATAGTTTCGAATCAAAAGTGATTTATTAGTAGAAGGCATATATGTATTTCATCGTAAATTCAAAGATTTTATGAACTTAACATTGTCATGCTTCTAATCATTACATTAGCTTAGTTTTCATTTGACACCTCCAGTTTCCTACTTCCTCCTATATGATAATGACTAACACAATTTGTCATAGATATGAAAAAGATCATGATTATTTACTTCCTAAGTTAATCAAAAAAACAAATCTGTTCGTATAAAACTCGAACTAATTAAATATCAACATGAATAAGTTCTAAAATATCTTGCTGCACTATTACAAATTAGATAGTAGTTAGTGTTCTTGTTTCTTGAGGATTATTTAAATATGATTGGAGCCAGGAGATCTTCTCTTCCACTTATGCAAACAATGAACAACTTTTGAACATATAGCAATAATCAATTTTTTCGATCCAGTTAATCAGTCTTATCATAAATAAGAAATTTTTTAGTTCAATTTTAATAATCGCTTCGATGATTGTTACTCTTAGAATATGATCCATTGGATCGATCCTTAACCCGACGGAATCTCGTTCGATATCTGAACTGAAAAAGTGAACCAATACTGAAGTTCTTTCATTCATAATGTATATACATATATTCATAAGATCAGACATATTGAAGGCGATATGATTCAATAGATCCATCGTGGTTTGACTCACTGATAGATCACGTCACTACCCAAGATTTAAATGATTAAGATAAAATAGATTTCATTCATTGAATTGTCGCTCTTAGATAAAATCTTTAGTAATCGAATTAATAGAAGCAAATGATTTCTAATACTTTCAATAATTTTGGAGATATATAAGTGTTCTTCGGGTCAACAAGACAGACTCTTATAACCTTTCTATTTATTAATAGCTTCATTTTTTTTTTGTTCTAACAAAAATTATTATGAAGAATCAGTTAAAACTATATATATTCATTTCTATTTAAGTTTCAATTCTAAAAATCAATCAATTTCTTATGAAATTCATTGTTTTATTTTTATCTCTTAATATACACAATATAAATTCTTTACCCATTTAGTATCATAAGCAGCGATAAGCATATTAATAAAATCACTTATTGTAATAAGACCAATTGTTGACGATGTTGGTGCATGCCATACAAGAGCTGCTCGAACACTATTGAATACAAGTGCAAAAAAAGCTTTTCGAATTGATAAACGTGCATCAAGTAATACAACTTTGCCACTTTTAGGCATACAATCATAACATGTATGTGTTATAAAAAATGATTGATAAATTTCATCATTATCTGAATAATTAAATTTGAAATAAATAAATAAAATAAATTTCTTTATAACTTACTTATTCGATGATAACTATCCTGTCGGACACGTTTTGAACGAAAATCCTTTTATTATTATTATTATATTATATACAAAAAAGAATCAATGATTAATATGAAACTTACTGTCAAAGTACCTGGTTCAAAAACGACGCAATTAAGGGACATATTTGAATAAGATTTAAGATAATACCTAAAATATAAGAAAGAAAAAGATCAAGTTAATAATATAATGTATTATATATTAAAATAAACATAGACATAAAGAAAGAATCATAAAAATGTATACACATCTGTCTATAGAAATACTTGTACAAACATTCTCAATTTACCATCTGGGTTTTTTTTCCTAAAAGATTTTATATGAAAAAAAAAAACCATTGAATTTCTGTTACTAAAATCAATTTTCTTTTATGTAGAGTATTTCGCATAACACGAGCAAAGAAAATTTATGAGAACACTCCATCCTACTATAGTGACATTCTTTTTTTCTCTCTCTCTCTCTCTTCCCTCGTATTCTTTATTTTTAGAACACAAATTGAAATTGCGCAAAAGAAAAAAATCAACCATGTTATTTATTCCGATTGCTCGCATTCTTTTATCAATTAATATTTATAGAAATTATTTTTTTTTTTGTTGTGATTTCGTCAGATTAATGACGAAATTTGAATAGCGAAATAGTACATTTCATATTTCTTCCAAATATAAAACTACATATATTCGTTTATCGAAGAAAAAAAAAGCACAATGATACTATGATAATGATAACTGATAAAAGAACCTCAATTGTTTGTATCTCAAATAATCTATCTTGCAATGCTACCTCAGCGATAAAAAAAAAACAAAACAAAACTCGAATATTATCAAATTCGACTTGATAGTTGACGATAAAGTATTATTATACTAAAATGTTAACAGAACAATGCGTCAATATATCGTTATCAAATCTCATCTGTTCTCTTTCAGAGTCTTTTTTTTTTGTTTATTTGAAAATTCAATAAACATATATACATAGTTTACTGTTGATACTGCCATCGGTGTATGTTCAAAAAAATATTTTTTTTTTACTAATAACCATTTTTGATACCGTTTTAATTGTTCAGAACAAAAACAATGTTTCCAATTAAGGTAGAATAAAAGAAAAACGAAAGAATATTATATTATTTAAAAATTCTTTAAAAGAAAAAATATTGAACAGAATTTTCGATTTTATTTTGATTTCTTTTTTTTGTTGTTGTTTGAACTTCATATTGCGATGTTCGGTTAGTACACACATATATTTCTAACGAATGAAAATAAATCATTTTTCCTCTAGAATCAAAATGTTTGCGCTACAATCTTTCTTATAAAATTCTATAACTCATAGCGCTTGATCGAATATTTCTTTTTTTTTTTCTTATGTGTTCTGTTGTTCTCGTGTCACATATTGGCATGAGTTTGAAAGTGTAATTTGAGTGATATAAAATGCAAATGCCACCTCCGTCACCTTCATCATCATCTGATGGTGGTTATTTAGGCATTTCGGCTATGTCATCTCGTTTGAAAGCACTAGAAGAAAAAATTCTATGTCAAATTGGTCCACTTGATCCTACGACGACGACGACGACGACGACGACAACGACAACAACAACAACAACAGCAAATCGAACGACAAGTCGAACTACAAATGCACAAACACGGCAAATACCAAGTTAGAAAAGATTGATATTTTTATTTTTTTGTTTAAAATCTACATTGAATGTTTGTTATTATTATCTATAGCTAATCTAAATTCTTCATCACCATCACGTGCAAGTTCAGCACCACCTATACGTAAAGGTGTCTTTCAATTACCACTTTCACCCATTCAATCATGTACAAATAATACCAGGTAGGTAACAGAAAAAAAAAGAACTTTTTTATTTTAAATAATTAATTTTTTTTTTTTATATAGTGAATATACACAAGCTAAATATCAAGAGGTGCTCAAAAATTCGGGTTTATTACATATTAATGGCGAGGTAAGAAAGAATTTTGTTTTTTATTATTTAAAACTTAATTAAAAAAACAAAGAGATAATTTTTATTTTTCTTTAGCAAAAACGTGTCGATCATAGAGAACTTAAAAATATATCAATATTGGGTTATGGTTCATGTGGACATGTGTATAAAATGGAACATGTAGCAAGTAAAACTGAACTAGCTGTTAAAATTATGCATCGAACTGCATCTGATGAAGAAAATAAAAGAATTATTATGGATTTAGATGTTATTATTAAAAGTTATAATTTTCCATATATTGTTAGATGTGTAGGTTATTTTATTAACTCTGTAAGTAAAAATCTTGTTTTTTTTTTTGCTTTTTTTCATATGAAAATAACAGATAGCCCATAAATAATTACACTGTTAAGTTTTTCAAAAATTTCTCTTCCGTTTTTGTTTTTTTATATAAAAAGATAGCACTTGAAATTCTCTACAAAAATCATCTAATCATTCTATGCAAGAATTAAGTTATTACATGAAAACGAGAGCTCATTAATTCTACAAGTCAAAAATAAACAGGCCATTTTATAGAGAATTAAATTTTGCATCGCATGGTATGTTACTCAGCATTTTTTGAATAAAAAAGTTTTTGGCTAGGAAAATCAAATTCGTAATTGAAGTGTTGTGTTATGTGGGCAAGCTGAAAACCTCCCATAGTGGACATTTCGCGATTCGACGGAGTAACTTTTTTTCTGAAGTTGAGCCTTTATATAGTAGACATCATCATATAGTTCTATGATGGACAGAGAAATTTTACAGAAAACGCATGTATTTCTTGTAAAAGAAAACTGTTGCTTTTAGAAAAGATCTAACCTTCTTATAGTGGACACTTTTCAAAAGTCCGAAGAATGTCCACTTATAGAGAGGTTGTACTATATTTAAAAAAAACATAAACCCGCAAAAATTTATCGTCAAAGTGAACAATTACTTTGTGGCTACAAATGATTAACAGCAATGGTTCTATCAATTTATTCCACCATTTTTCGGTCGTCCACATACAGTTCGAATGTCCCAAAGGTGAAATGATACTTATTTATCAAGAAAACTGCTTGTTGAAATAAGCCGCATACCACTGCTACTGTATGAAGATCTTAGCTACTTCCTGAAATACAGATCGAAGAGTTAGTCGTGATCGATCTGCATCAAGAAAAGAGTATGCTAATTTTGTAAATGGTATGTTAGCAGAATGTTTTTCAAGGTCACATGTGTTACTTCGCGAAGGAACATCGTGAATTGATATGCTCCATTTGAGCTCATTGGTAGGATTCATAGAGTACAGAAAAAAAAACCCTAAAATATTTCGTCCCATTGTTGTTTTGTTAGATTGAAACAAGTTTATGTAAAAATGATACTATTGTATTTCCTATTAAAAAGCATTTTCATGAGCTGATTGTTTTTTCAATTCATATTACAAGCGTGAATAAAGAGAAGAAGTTAACCTTTACAACAGCACACACACACACACACACACACTCTTTCATCAGAAGATACTAGAGAGAATAGAACATTCATAATCCGTATTAACTGAGATATAGTTGCTCTTTCTACGACATATAACCTAATAAAAGCAACATTGATAGACAAAATAACACGTTCTGTCAAACGAGCAATTGAAAAAAATATTTGATTTCACTATTGTACAATTATGTTTGATCCAAAAATATAGAAAAGACTATAGTCATTAAATCAAGTAGAATATTTTGTATAGAATTTCAAGTGCTATCTTTTGACAAAAAAGAAAACAATGTATTTTTATCAAGTAAAAAATACTAAGAATGCAATTATTTATGAGTCACATATGTTATATTTGATTTTTTTTTTCCATTATTTAGACGGATGTTTGGATATGTATGGAATTAATGGCATCATGTTTTGATAAACTTCTTAAACTTATTCAACAACCTATGCCAGAATCTGTTTTAGGCAAATTAACATTTGCTGTATGTTGAAAAATTTTTGTAATATTTAGATTTTTATTTTTGTTCTTTGTCTATAGACAGTAACTGCACTGAATTATTTGAAAGACACACATGGAATTATTCATCGAGGTTTGTTTAAGAATGTTTTTTTGTAATAAAAAAAAATGAATTGATTCTTTGTGTTTTTTTTCTTTTTGAGATGTTAAACCATCGAATATTTTAATCGATGAATATGGAGTAATTAAACTTTGTGATTTTGGTATTAGTGGTGTACTTATTGAATCAATGGCTAAATCAAGAAATGCCGGTTGTGCAGCTTATATGTCACCTGAACGTATTGAACCATCGGATCCAACACGACCTGATTATGATATAAGAGCTGATATTTGGAGTTTAGGAATTACACTTGTAAGTTAAGAATATTTTCAATTTTTTTAAGAAAGTTATTCTCGTTTAGTATTGATCAATGTTATATACTTAGGCTTGACCAAAACTTTTGATTCCGATGTTTAAAATTTTATTGCATGAATACATAGTAGAATGCCTCGTCTACAATAATGTATATAACACTCTTAGGGCTTTGGAAAAGTTCTGATAACATGAAATAAAAATCTAAATAGAAAGAGATATTTTTAGTTTTGTTTTATTAAATATTCAAAATAGTCATCATTATTTTTTATACAAAATTCTATCCTTTCTAACAGTTTGTCGAAAGTTTTTTTAAACTCTTTTTCTCGAATATTCTTCACTATCTTGAAAGCCTCTTGAGCTAGCAATTCTTCGTTTGCTTGATCAACCCTAAGTATATTATGAGGAAATCCTTTCAACTGATTAAAAAAAGCTGAAAAGGATGTCGGCGCAAGCTGCAATTCGACTGAAATATTATTCTTTACTGTAGTTATAGTAATATGTCGAAATCTCACCTGAGGAGGGCACTACCCCAAGTGGCACCGACCGTTTGAGCTCATATTCGACCTAGAAGAAGTTATTGGTGAGTCTAAAAGGGTTCGTCCATATGAGCCTTTCTCACCCAATTGTCACTGGTTTGCAAAGTTTTCGATTTATTTGTACGCAGTTCCTGAAAAAAAAACCAAATCATAGAATTTCGATGCAAAATTTTGTTCATAGATGCGTATATTGACTCCTAGAATATTCTGAAATTTTTAGCCGAAAAGAACGTTTCTTCATCAATTTATTGAATTTCCAAATAAACTCGATTTTTGTGATGTATCTGTGACAAAGGTTATTCTTTTTAGAAATTCAATATCTTAACAGAGAAACATTCTTTTCGGCTGAAACTTTCAAGATATTCTAAGAGTCAATATACACATTTAAGGACAAAATTTCGAATGAAAAATCCATAATTTGATTTTTCGGGAGCTACCTATAAATGAATCTGTGTGAAAGACTCATAGGAATGAAATCTTTCAGGCTTTTTCTAGTCTCGTCGAGATCTCTTGCGGGGTCCAATATGAGTACAAATAGCGAACGTTAGTTGAGGTAGTTTTCTCGTGAACGTAAGTGATGCTCGACTTTTCCTAGTGTATTTGTACTTTGTACTTGTGAGCCAAATTTGAGTTCAAAAGCTTTTATCAAATAACAAGATACATTTGTTATGTCTACCTTTCAGCTATTTTCTAAGAATAGTTTATAATCTTTTTATGTTTTTGAAAAATATTTTACTCTATAAATATCAAATAAAAAACTGTCGATTATGAATATTTAGATCGAACTTGCAACAAATGCTTATCCATATTCAAATTGTCGATCTGATTTTGATGTTATGTCACGTATTGTAACTGAAGATTCTCCTCAATTACCTGCTCATCTATCATTTTCTGCTCATTTCCGATCTTTTGTTGATATGTGGTAAAAAGAATAAATTGTTTTAAATTAATATTTTTATCATTTTCTTTTTTTTAAGTTTAATTAAAAATTATAAACAAAGACCTAAATATGGTGAATTAATGCGTCAACCATTCTTTGTCCAATCACGTGAAGAACCAGTTGATGTTGCCGGCTGGTATAAAGATGTAACAATAGCGGCGATAGAAAAACAACGCCGGTGATTGAGTATGTGTGCGTGTACATCTGAATTTTTTTTCCTTCATCGTGTCATTCACATATTTATCTTTCTTTCTTTTTAAGTTCTATAAATTTTTTTGTTTTGTATCTTCAGGCATATTTAGTTTGTCTAGTTAAAAAAATTATTCTTATTTCCAGCGAGTACTACATGTCACTGGTTTCTTTTTCTTTTGTTCGCATTTTTCCTTTTTTTTTTCTTGTGTAACATGTACATGATTGTGATTCAAAGGTGTTTTTATGAAAAAAAAAAGAAAAAGAAAAAATTATACATATATATATATATATATAATGTTAAAGAAGAATTTTGCTTATATTTGGTATAAGCAAAGTGTTAATCGAAGGCCGATTGCGAGTGGATGTTGAAGTGATTCGCATGACTCGGAAATAAATATAATCAGACTCAAGTGATTCTTTCAATGCTTGGAAGTATTCGCAAAATCATTGGATGAAACTGATGTCATAGAAGTACAAAAAATAACAAACTATGTTAGTTTTTCGCAAAATACAACATACATCTATTTGTTTTAGACTTTGCTCTGCTATTATTAGAATAAAATAAATGTAACTAACAAAAAAAAAATGTTTGAATCAATCTAAATGATTGGAAGACAATTCTTAGTACTTAGAGGAAATATTAACTAATGACATTTCATGCATATTTTAACATAAAAGACACTGAGGAGCCATTATAAATCAAATAATACGAATGAACTCTCTAGAAACATAATTGTTTTTTTTCTATTATTTGACAATTTATTTAAAGACATAAACTTATTCAAATTATTCATGATCAGAAAAAAAATATACATTCGAGGCAAGAAGTTTATGCCTTTCGTACTTAGTCATTTTCGTTTGATAATATTCTCATGTCATATGAATTAATTATTCAATGTTTTTTTTCAATTTAACATATCTAGTTTGCTTCGAATTTTAAATGTAATATCAATTTGACAACAAATATTTATCCAAAAGAGAAATGAGACGAACGAAAATTCTTATCTTATGCAAAGAGAAACCCTTGAAAAATTTACCTATCGAAACATTTTCTACTGAATTTATTCTATTTTAAAAGAGAATAATTTACTTATTATTCATTAAATTTTAATAATTAGAATTGAACTGCTCTGATACATTTCTCCGCAATATTTGCAATTTATATTTTTACACCTATTATTTTTTTTATAAATGGAAACTTTTGAATATTTTATATATGTAAAATATTTTTCCATTGAATTCGATATAAATTTGTTCCTATGTTTCACCGGCAGCATCAAATTACTCCTACTTTCTCGTTGTCATCGTTTCAAGTGAGTTACTTGTTCATGTAAGTGTTGCTTTTTAATGTTTTAAAAAAAGAAGAAGAAGAAGAAGAAGAAAAAAAATTGTTTTGTTTCTATTGAGAAAAAAGAATAGAAAACGATTCATAATTAAATAAGAAACTTTTTCTTAAGCCTATGTTTTTAATGTAGGCTAAAAATCAAACCGGAAAAGAACTTTTGTGTTTTTTTTTGCATCTATTTTTTTGTTCTCAAAATTGAAAAAAAAAACTGTCCAAATAAATTGCTCATGTTCATTGCCTATAAAAAAAAACCAATACAATCGTGAATTTTTACATTTTAGTAATAGAAAAAGAAGAAGCAAAAAAAAAAAGAAATATTATATACAAAAAATGCGTTTCTTCTGACAACGAAGATCAACAACAACAAAATCAGTTATAGTTGCAGCCATCGTCATCGGACATTAGTGAAAGTCAGTTGACAACGCAAATGCATACATGCTCACAGGTAACATTACAACAACAATAAAAAAGAGAGAGAGGGAGAGAGAGAGAGCAACAGAGAGAGAGACAGAAAGAAATTCTTTACACCTTGTCTAAGATTTCTTTTTTGTCACTCAAATTCACTTCACTCGATAGTGTGTACGTGTGTGTGTGTGCGTGTATCGAACGAACGCATATAGTGTCCAACACACACGTAGGTGAAATATATAGAGTATTTTTGATGTCATAAAAATAAGAATTTCTTGATTTTCTTCTTAGTCAATTGATCGACCGGTGTATTAAAAAATGGACTATATGGGATCTACTGCAACGGCCCAATATACACATATGGGTCATCGTCCTCAACAAGGTGCTCATTTACCATCAATAGGCACATTTGATTATCGAACATCATCAGCTCCACCTTACTCTGGTTTATTAACTCGATCACTTTCTCTTCCATGGCGTCCATCAACATTTTATCGCTCAGCTCGTGTTGAACCAACACAATCATTACATTCATCTACAATGGAACCAATGAGTTCATCAAATTATCTTAATAATATTGATAATGTTAAAGTACCACCAATATTTCCATCAGCACGTCAAGCACTTTATACACGTTATACACCAAAAGATTGGTATAATGCTCAAATGACAAATTATTTAGCTTCGGATAAAATTCGTTCAGCAGCTGAACGTTTACGTTCCGATGCTATACGTTTAGCACGTGAAAAAGATGAACAATCATTTAAAAATAATGCTGAATCATCCAAACGTTTAGGTGAACGTATAAATGATATTGAATATTGGAAAGGTGAATTAGAAAAAACAAAAGATAAAATGAAACGTAAAATTGATGATGTTGAATCGAAAAGACGTGAAGTTGAAAGATTATTATCTGAATCTGAAAAACCATTACGTATTGCACAAGAAAACTTATATGAACGAGAAAAACGACAAGGTTTAAAAGAATTAATTTTGTTTGGAAAAAATATTTTTTTTTTTTTTGTTTTAAATCAAATTTGTTTTAGGTATTGATCTTGTACATGATAATGTTGAACGAGAACTTATTCGAGTAAGTCTGTTTTTTTTTGTAAATATAAACAAGAATAAGAAAATTATATATATAGGAAGTTGATACAATTAAATTATGTCAACAAAAACTTCGACAAATGCTCGAACGTCTAAATACACAAAATGCGTAAGAAATTTATCAATGATAAAAATTAATATTATTTCTATTTTTTAGTCTTAATCGTGCTTCATTACATGAATTAGAATGTGATTCACAAGATAAATTTCGTGCTCGAGTACTTGATTCAGCTGCTCATAATATTAAAACAACATCACGTGGAATTAATTTTTACGAAGGCATTGAAAATGTTGATAATACGTATGTTCATTATAGTTATTATTAATTAATTACACAGTGTTGACAGTTTTCATTTTCCCGTAAAAAAAAACAAAAGTAAAGATAATAATCAGCCTTTTTTTACGTCATAACTGTAATATTGAAAATATTAACTTTATGTAGAGGTTTATTTTTCATACATATTGTCAGATATATCATTAAGTTTCTTTGAAATATATCATTCCATTCTTTCTCTTTTCTATTAGAAAAATAAATCGAACACATTCCGTAAGAATAGACACATATTGTGGAATATTTAGTTTTTTGAGGAGAAGCAAATGCTGAAAAAAAAGAGTCTTTCAAAATTAGATTAGCATCCTCCTCGCGGACTAGAATCACAATGTAGCTGCCGTTGCTAATCATTGAGATTATTGTTTTATTCTATCTATTTTGAAACACATTTTTTCATCATTCAGAAGTCACGATCTACGAGCGCAAGAGATTCATTCGTATATCTTAATAATCCTTGTAGACTGTGTTTCACAAAATACTATAAAGCAAACGATACTAGTTCTATCATTGAGCACATACTATTGCCATGATATAGGCTATAAAAATAATGTTTCAAAACATAGGATCGTTGTTTTTATTCTGCTGTCTAATAGCATACATTAATTAAGGTCTCTCTCGATTTATACTTTTTAATATATTAAATGTCCGAAGTAAATTTCATATATATTATCAATTTTTAGAGTATCAGTACCTGAAACATGGACACGATATACAGAAGAAAATATTCGTCGAGCTCTTAGTGAAATGTCTCAATCGGATGAATTACTTAATGCTAGTAATCAACTTATGGCACAAAGTAATAATGACATGTGGTCTCAATGGAATCATGTTAATGTATCACTTGAAAATCGTGTACAAGAAGGACAAGTGGCTAAAAATAAAATTCAAGCTCATCTTGAAAAGGTTTAATTGAAAAATAAAAAACAACAACTTTTATTTATTTATTTATTTCATATAGATTCTTCAAGAAATCTTTGATGTTGAACAAAATATTGAATTTTTGAAAAAAACTATTGCCGATAAAGAAGCATTTTTACAAGTTGCTCAAACACGTCTTGAAACACGTACTAGACGACCAAATGTTGAAGCATGTCGAGATCCTGCTATGCATAGGTCAATTGAATTAATATTTATATTATACATTTAACAAACAAACAAAAAACATATATATATATAAACAACATATTTTTATTTAGATTAATTCAAGAAGTACATGATTTACATGCAGGTATTGCTGATCTTCATGGTAAATTAAGACAAGAAGAAAATGCTGTACAACATTTATTACGTACAAAATCAACATTAGAACAAGATTTGGCAATTAAAAATAATTCATTATTTATTGATTTTGATAAAGTTATGGGTATTAGACGTACATTTACAATAAATGCACCAGAAAAAAGTGCAGTTACTTCTGTTACATTTTCTCATCCTCGTGGATTGATTACTGCATGAAGAACAGTAAATTTATTTTAAATATTTAAATTAAGAACAAAAAAATAATAATAAATGAAATAATCTTTTGTTTTTATTTTTTTTAGTACAAACATCTTTCACAATAGAAAAATTAATCGGTGATATCAATCGATTTTTTTTTCATAGAATAAATTAAGGACTATATATAATTCTTTTTTTTTTTTTCGTCTTCTATTCTGTATTATTCTTCTTTAGAATCACACATATGCATTCTTTTTCTTGTACACACATGCACTAATACATTCTTTTTTATTTTATTTTCAATAACAAAGAAAAGGAAATAACGTTTTTGTTGATGTTCAGTTCGATGAAAAAAAAAATTGAACTGTTGATTTGATCGAGGTCAATACTATTTTCAAATAAGTCATATTTTAATTTAAGATAAACAGATCCTTGTTGAAATTAGTGAAGTATAATTTGGAACAATGTAAGAAATTACAGACATATTGAAAGAAAAAGATTTGAATACTTTCCTTTTTTATAACTCAACCTATAGTTCAAGAAGCAAAAGTCTTTAAAGACATGTTAAATTGAACTTTAACTCAAGTCTAATTAAATCTAGGAAATCGTAGACTTTGCTAGTGTACTCAATTGAAATTTAGTTGATCTTAGCAAACTCCCACCAAATAAAAAACGAAAGGAACTGTAAGCTTATGCTTTTTGAGTAGCATTTTTTAATGAATGCTTATTTATCTTTGAATTTCACTTGGCTTGTAGACAATATGTAAAGTATAAATATATTGTACTGTTAAGTTTGTGTCCTCTCTCGGAATTGAATACTCCACAAATTTAAGATATTACTTCGTTTATTCATAAAAAGACTTTTGACAATCAAATTTTTTACTTTTGTAAAAAATAGAATTTCAGGTGATAGTACTACTGAGTACTTGGCTACTATTACAGCTGCTTTAAGTTTCTTTTTTGTATAGTAGAAAAGTAATACTTTATACAAACAAAATCTCTTCAGTGGTTCAGTTATTACTACTTAATCAGATATATCAAGCGAATTTTTGGCTAGTTTTTTCTACATGGAATATTAATTTTGCCAGTCTAATCAAATGATGTAGATGTATATTATAATTAAATTGTATTTTCCTTAGTTGAATTTTTTCATCAGAATTAATTTTGGTATCAGTTCATATATGGTCCATATTAAGGAAACAGATACTCTTTTGTAGTAAGTCACAGTTATCTAATAGTGTCTGTTGTCTTTTTTTATATCGTTTTAATTTATATATCTGATTTGAAAGCTTTTGTTTAAAAGATTTTGTTCTCTTACTACTAATTTCTCGAGCACTGATCGTAAGTGCAATCCACAACATCGAAATCAGAACCAAGATTAGGAAAAAAAAGATGATCTGTTCGATCGTTTAAACCATTTTCAGAATGCATTACCTATTCAAGTATGTTTTCCGTCAAGACTAGTAATCATAGATATTTTCATTATTCAGACGACATTGCGAAGTAAAAAAAACAAAGATACTAGCATAAAAATACTGTGCTTTCGTATGTGCTTATTATTGCATGCTTAGTCCTTATTGTTAGTGGACTAAATATCAGGAAAAATGTATCTCGATCAAGTATTAGAGATGTTCAAAGTGCATACCTATGTTATTCGAATTGATTTGAAAGTGCGCATTATCATGTTCTAATAACTCTCCTGGCCCCAGAATAAAAAGCTATAGCCTTCTATTGTGGGCTAGGGTTTTGTTAACATTTAATTAGAAAACCAAGGGTTCAAATAGGCGTTATTAGTAACTAAGGAGGAAACTTCTTTAGCTCGTAAATGCCGGAAAACCAGAGTTTTTACTACGAAAAGCACTTTCTTACCAGGAAAGTAGTCATTTTAGTTACAAAAAACCAATGGATTTTTACTCAAAAACTAGGTTTTTATATTCTAAAATCCCCAAATGAGTTGGGTTTTCAAAGAAAGATTTTGAAAAACCCATGGTCTCTATTCTGGCAGAAGGGGAAGGGGCGAGGTTGCTGTACTGAAATAATATCATTAGAGACGTATGAAACCAAATATTGGAGGTTGACCGAAACCACGAGAAAAGGAAGTTGCCGAGATGGAAATTGGAACTAAAAGAGAACAAGTTGTTCCAACCTGAACTAAAAATTATAGTTGAATATTCTGTGGTTTTAAGGGAATTATCTTATAAATCATCTCATCAGAACATAATTCCAGAGAGATGACCGAAAAAAAAAGTACTTATCGTCCACTTAATAAATCAAAGAAACGAGTATTGAAGAATTTTTTTAGATGCGATACGAATATATTCTGAAATAGTTATCTCTAGACTGGGGTTGGAACCAAGAAAACTTGATTCTGCCAGTCTTTAAATACGACATACTATGGAAACTCTCAAGCATACTTCTTATTCACATTACAATTAGTATTGATGAAATACTCTAAGATCACTACGTAATGTCTATCTATATTCCTAGTAAATGAATTTTTCTTAACATTCAACTATTGTCTAATTGTTTTAAATTCATCATGTCATCAGACTTTTGATTGTGATGAGCAATCACACATTCGTACAGACTTAATTTTTATATAAATTTGATTATTGTCATTTGAAATTAAAAATGTTAACACATAGTTTTCTATTTATTATATATACTGTTTTCAAAATACAAAAAAAGAAAAAAAAAAGAAAAGAATTTATTCAAATTAACAAGTAAAAAGTTTCTGTCGTTTATTATTCGTTTGGTCATCAATTGATGCTAAACATGAAATAAAAGCATATAATATAATTATTTAATTATTAATTATGACATACAATTTTTATTCTTTTTTATCATTTGATTTGATAAAATATTTTCAATTGAATGTTTAATTAATGACGATGATGATGAATTTGTTTCAATTGAAATTTCATCATCTGATGGTGGATTTTTGGTTTGTTGGAAGAAAAATTGGTTATAACGATGTAATACACATAATAAATTTGCTTGATGATTCCTTAGAAACAAAAATTATTCTATAACTCAAAAAAATAAGACAATATAAAATAATTTACTCAATCGTTAATAATTCTTCAGTATTATTTGATTGACAAGTATTTATTTTCTACGAAAAAAAAAAAGAATTTGAATATGTTCACAATTAATTTTTATTCAACATCTTACCTTCGATTGTCGTCCATGAACAGATCCCGGTCGAATAGAACCAGTTTCATAAAATTTCGTTAAAATTTTCGAAACACATCCATGTGAAACAAGTAATTTTCTTGATATATCACATGGACGAATACCATTTAATGCTAATTCAACAATTTTTCGACGTACATGATCAGGTAATGGACGACCATTAACAAATATACCACCAAGTTGATTAACTCCTGCTTGTCCTATATGATAATTTTCGGCTAATCAAAAATAATATTTATGAAATATATACTCACCTAGACCAGGTACATACAACTTACTTTTCATCGTTTTGAATGATATCATTCAATAATATGAGGGTATGTTTGAGAAAAGAAAAATGTTCTCATTGGTTTATCGCATTGATTATTTATTGGACAAAATAAAAAGAGAGAGAGAGAGAGAGAGACACGGTTGTGAATATGCATTTTTCACACATCTACCAAAGTGTAATATTATTCTTATAAATCAGAGTTCATCCCTGATTGACAATTAAGATAGATTGTTCTGTTTTAATCGTTCATGAATTGGACCTACATCGATTTTAGTCTGTGCCAAACAGTGACGAATAGAAATAAGTAATTGACGTTTTTCGTAATGATTTTTGTATTATCAACTATTGAAATTTATGGTGGAATCTATGAAAACATACACAAAAAAAAAACTAGGAAACAAATCATGAAAGAAATTCTAGTTTTGTATTTTTTCGTTTTTGAGAAGTTGTCGATGAGTTGTTTGATATCAATGTGAATCATGGAATGTATATACATCATCAGTAGTTTATTCAGACGATTGTCACCTATGGTCCTTTGAAGGTATGATTTTATTAGTGTTAATTCTGAAAAAAGCTTCGCTCGCCTGTGGTCACTGTCATCAGTAACATTGCATAAATTTTCAAAAGAACTTTAATAATCGAAAAGAAGGTATCGTTACATCGAATGTGATCTGAAACCTGAATTCTATACTTATTAATCATCAATAGAACAAGCACAAATGAACTGTTAACAAGACCGTTGGTTATTTCAATGCTAAACTCTACAAACATTCATCATCTATCTGAGAGGAATAGAAGTCATATCTAATAAGAGAAAGAATATTCGCTACAAGTAACAACACTACATAAAACATATATAACTTGCTGTCCTGCTCTCGCATCGTTCATTTCAAAATACGAGCATTATAAACTTTAAAATAGTGAGAAATACACAATATTTATCTCAGTAAATCGCATAGAAATACAAAGATACTTAGAACATAGCATACAATCAAAACTGTTTAAATAAAACAATGAAAACAGTTTGCATGTAATAGAAAAATCTAGTGGAAACTACAAAAAAAATTTTATTGTGTAAGAGTTTACTTTTTTTATCTTCACTTTCATGATACTGTTACACGTAAACTGCATATATTCTTTTATTAGAATATATTTTCTTAGTCGATTTCAAAAACTCAATCATTTTATATGAAGTTCATAATCGATATATTCAGTTACGAGTCTTTTCTTGTTTTTTGAAATTCAACATTTATGAAATATTCTGTAAATCTTTTAAAGTTTGTAATTATTTCGTATGGTAACAGATGTTCAATCGGTTAAGATTGTACTTTTACTTTAATACATTTTTTCTTTCTTATATCGCTTCATTGGTGCAGCAGTCACCCCTGTGTATATATACTCTGTGTATATGTCACATCAAACGTCGTCTCACATCGATGATCATTACTGTTGTTGCTTTCTTTTCGTCTACCGATAATAATTTGTCATTGATAGCTATGGCATAAAACGGACAAGTACCGCTATTTCAATTGTTCACGTTTGCTATCATAAATATCGATATTAAATGATTAGAACTGTCTGTTTTAATAAGACAATCAATTGAAAAATATTGAGTAAAATCATTTTGACTGTTCACCTATAAAATGTGTTATCAAAAAAAAACAAAACAAAAGGAGTGTGAGTCAAAAATTAGTTCGTCTTTTGCTACAAAATCGCTACTTCAAACATACGAAAACACATTTTATAATCACTGCCAATCTCGATTTGATACTTGAATAGTCAAGAAAAAGTCAATGGATGTTATGCTTGATTGTTCACAACAACAAATGTCTTTATGAGAGATAGAGTGAGAAAAGAAAGCAGGACATTTTTTACTCATTAATTCAATCATGATGATACGTTCCATTAAATATGTTTATTTTAAAAGCGGCATGTGTGAAAGTGATAGAAATATTTGTAAAGGTGCCCGCAACGCGAAATTCAAATAAAAATTTTTTTTTCGACTTTTTTTCACATCATCTGAGAGAACTTGAACTGCTGATCACGAATATCAGGTCTTTAGCCTCAGTGAACGCTTTCTTCCGGTTGAAAATTCGAAATACCGAAAAAATGCCGTTTTCATCAAAAAAAAATATCTGTTTCCAAAATGTGCGAAATTTTCTACTTCGTTCTTTTTTTGAGTTTCTGAAAATATTTTTTTCAGATTCAACATCAAAAATTGAGTACAAACAAGCTGTTAAATCGACTGTAGACTCAAAACTCTACTGGCGGTGGTGCTTTGAATTGTGTCGACTATGATGCGCATAGGTCGATTTTGTAAACTTACCTAGTTTATCCACGTAAATGATAGAATCGATTATTTTATCTCATTCTATTCGTCATACCATTGACTATAATATTACACGTGGTTTTTTTTCTTTTCTTTTCTTTGTCAAGAAAACTCTTTTTTACTGATACCATTTTTCTAGACGAACAAATGGTTCTTCTACAACAAGACATTTTATCTTAGCACAAGTAAGACGTGCTGCATCATTGGTAAAACCTTGTGTTACACTTGCTAGTGTTTCATATCGAATGGTGAGATATGTCAAACGTGGTAAAATTGTACGACATAGTCAATATGTGCCCTCTTATGATTGAATTCGAACAGATAATCAAATGTAATATATATAGACGAATGCTGGTTATTTTTTTGTGATTGTAAATTAGTAATCGATAATCTTTGGAGAAAAGGAAAGCTTTGTGAGATGGCTTGAAATAATTCATCTTCAAATGGACGTATATTTAACATTACCAACCATCTAACTTTATTGAACATACCACCTTGAAAACCACTGGTCATAAATATAAAATCGTTGAAATAATATGGAAGTGAATAGACATGACAGTAGTCTCTATTATACGTGAATTTTTCATCAGCGTATGAATCCACTTATTGATACCCTCTTTTGATGAAACTATTGAGAATATCATTCTTCGATGGAAGATCAATTTTAATGTGGTTGTTCATAATATGAGTGTGTATACTAAAAATAAATTTGTTTAGTTGTGGAATATTAATGAGAAAATCATTGTGTAATTAAGTGCCATCAATATAAGTCGATTTATTTCTTATTATCGAAAGAAACGATGTTAATTCTTGAAGATTTCACATTCGACAAAGTAATGGAACCATACAATTGTTATAAAAATATGTATACCAATACGATGTTAGTGTTAAACATTTCAACTTGAAAAGATTTTTCTAAAGAAAACAAAGCAATCATTAAATATCAAAGAGAGATTTATTTATATTCAATGATGAATCGCTAATTTCAATTATATAAATGATCAATATAGACAAATGTTGAAAGCATCCATCAAGAAGATACACAATTTGTTGATGGTAGATTAGAAAATGAAATTTCTGTGCCGTGAGTAAATGTCAAATCAATTAAACATGTACTAATAGATGGTATCAATGTAAACATGTTTAATTCATTTTCATCAGGTATTTCACGTATTTTATCAGTAATATCGACTGTAAGATATGTGATTTGATCAGTAAGAAGACAAAGAAGTATAGTATCATCTTAAATGTACAAAAGAAAAACACCAGTAGTTCATGAAAACAAATAAAAATTCACAACTATACCTGTTAAATGTTGTAAAAGTGTTTCTGATTGAAAATTGACTAGTGATAACGAATTAAGTTCAGAATACATTCCATATAAAGTGGTTCAATAGTAAATTTATTTACTTTATAATGAATTCGAGATAAGACTTGTCTACGAATTCGATCTAAAATTTGATTATTTACTGGAGAATTATGAAAAAGCAATGGTTTGATCGTTAAATCTAAATGATGAATATAGAATGGATCGAGTACTAAACGATCAAATCGTTGATTCAGATTCACTAGTGAATAGAGTATTTCGATCGTATGTATATTGATATAGTCATGTTAGACGATGATGAATAGTTAATACTATTTTTCTTTCTGCCTAAAATGTTTTTTTTTTCATTGACAAAGAATAGATATAATGCGGTCATCCTTGATATGTTACAATAGTTATCATGTATAAAATACATTATAGGAAATAGCATGATGTTTAGACGAAGTTAAAATCTATATTCAAAGTCTTTTATCAAACAACATTGTTGATGTATTTTATTTAAATCCAATTAAAAACTATTAGAATATAAAATGACTCTCATCCTAAATTATGTTCATCTGAAAGTTTTTTCAATACATAATTAAAAGTCATAAAATGAAAGAACAAAAAAAAAAGAAATCTCATCTTCATTATTCTCAATCATAGTTTTATTGTTTAATAGATCTTTTTTTATTTTGTGTAATTTAATTTGTATTCATTTTTTGTCATGATTAAAGATTATTTCGTTGAAAAATACTTATATAAAATTGATTCCCAATGAAAAATATTGCTGAAAAAGAACGAAAGTGAACGCATTCATCAAAACATGGAAAGCTTTCTTGACCAAGAAGAACGTGTTCTATATTTTGATGGATGCACTCATAACTGACAAGAATACGTTCTGCATCGGAGGAAACGCATTCTTTACCATTCCACGTTATTACGGAACACTTTCTGGACCGTTCCATTCATTATAGGAATGGTTCCCCTTTCGTTCTTTTTTGTAGAATGATCCGAATAGAATTCTATCAAAATGAGATGACGTTCTTTGAAATTCCTCAGAGAGATTCTCTAAGAACGGTTTCTTTGAATTTATGACCACGTTCCAGACAATCTAAGATCATTCTTAGAGAAAAAAAAGAATGTATTCTCTATCATTCTCCAAATTGTCGAACGTTTTCTCATGGATTCGGAAACCAGTTTTGAAAAAATAGAAAGCGTTCTCGTCCGTCTCATAAGCTTAGTAAAATTGTTCTGCTACATTGAGAAAAAATATCAGTTATCTCAGATTGCGTTCCTCGTTATTCTCAAATACATTAAATGTTTTTCTCGTTATTTCTTGACTAAAATATGATCACCATAATTTCTTTTATGAGCATCTGTTTCCAAGGCTGAGTTTGCAGCTGTTGATATCGAAACATTTTTATATACAACACATGAAGACCAAAATATTAGGAAGATTCAGATTCGTTGGATAAACGAATAAATATAAATTGATCTTCTTGAAGAAGGAAAAAAAAACTTTTTCAACAATTTGTATTGGTAATATTCGTGTTGTTAATGGGAAGCGTATTTATCCATTGTCTGTATTTGAATTTTGAACTATAGGAATCAAATGTGAGACTTTTATTTTTACGGTTGATCTGTCTAATTTGATACTAAAAATATGATCTTAGAGATTAACTATATGCTGTCAAGATCAATGGTTATAATTGATATTCCTTTGGCAATTTTTCTTCTTTATTTACGTTTGTCATAATAAATAATTGGGAATGATAATACAATTTTAATCGGTTGTACGCATAGAAACGGCAATGAAAAGCCAAAAACGGTTTAGTGTATTATGCAAAATAGAAATTAACAATGATATTTGTTACACTAGATCATATTCTCACTTATAACTATTTCTCCTAGAGTAATAACCTGTATGGAAGAAGAAATGAGAAAAGAAAATAACTAGATAACTCAGAAAATAACAACGAACGATTTAAAAGAGAAAAGAGAAAATGATTTTATGAAGGTGATGTGATTTTTATCATAAAATCATCAATTTGTTTCTTTGGATGAATTTTATAGTTGAAATAATTTTCAATGATTATTCCACAGATAATGAAGAAAATTCTATTCGCTATTTTATTCTTTTAATGCTAACGCTTATATTGAGATGTCGTTCATTCGATCAAATAGAACAGATCAAAACTAATTCATCTATCTATTTTCATAGTCGGCTTCATGCAACTGACCTTTGAACTTCTAGATTAGTAAATAATCATTTTGTACTATATATTCATACATTCAACATAAACTAAATACATGTGTAGGATAGTCAGCAACATTCATCATATTTTTTTTTTGCTTTATCTTCTGTACTTTCTTGATAATTGTTCATTTTACACAACTCTTACTCTCATTCAGTGGTGTATGGCGTGTTAATCACACCAATTAGTATATAGAGTGTGTACAAGGTAAACGAGCGCTTTTGTTTCATCTGACTTTCCTTCCTGTCTTTTCTTCTATACGCATTATACTTTCTTTCGTCGTCTTTTTTTCTCATTTGTATTAGTTGCTACTTTCAATAAATTTTGTCCACATAAGTGATTGCGTCTTTTCTTATTTCAGTCAGCTAGGAAGCAAAATAGTAGCAGATAGATGTTCTTAGACAAAGTGTTAGAGACCTGTCATAGTCTTAAGATATCTTCTACCTCCTTTAACTTCTTTTTTTCGCTTAGATAAACGAGTCATATGTGGAACCGATTAATGATTATCAATTATGTCAATTCTTGTCTCCTTTTTCGAGTAGTGTCATAATCCCGTTACACCCGGTATCCACTCCCACAAAATATAATACGTAATAGGGTATTGCGTGATTTCAGTGTATTACTCAAGCGTAGTGACTTTATCATCTTAAAGAATAACTCCATATTTTGAAGTTGAGCAATTTGAGTGGATTTGGTGTACTACCTAGAGGGTAATGTCTTTCCTTATCTCTCCATATAACTACATATTTATAAAATTTGAGCAATTTGAATTGTTTTGGTGTATTACCTCAAGGGTAATGACACTCTTCATATCATTCGATAACTAGGGTGTGTGTGGATGTGGGTATTGATCCTCTACATCCACACCCACACCCTTATTCAAGTCGAACAAGTCCTCGTGGTTCACGAATTTGAATTCCTTCGATACGACAATATGAATCTGTATCGATACTTTTGACCACTGTTTCGATGAATTGTAATGAAATATAACATTAATGATATTATTGAATGACTCAAGCTTCTGCAACAGGACTATTTTGTGACAGTCGACAGTGATTGACATTTTATTACACATGGGTTATCTTTGGTGAAAGCACGAAAGAATCTTTAAATAGGTGTGCATCTCAGTGGTGTCTTCTATAATAGTAGCCTGCAATTTTATCGAATTTCGAGGAATGTGTGTTTGAAAATTGGTGGAACTGCTTATTGTCACATTTTAATATTGTGACTGTAGTTTTATTTTTTTCAACGCATACATATATAATCAAATCATCAAGCCATCAAGGTCTTGACGAGATCGTCAAAAAGATCGAAATTCATCTTTCCGTCCGGATTTTTCAGTCCGTACATCGCGTACCACTCTTCATTGGCTTCTGGATGCGGTCCGACCATTCCAACACGTCCTTTTCCATAATTTTGCACAGCAGCTGCAATCTCACCATTAGTGTAAACTGCTAGGGTGTGGGTGTGTGGGGTGGGTGTGGGTCGGTGTGAGTATCACTTTGTCCACCACCATCCACACCCACCCACACCCCACACCCACCCACCCACACCCACACCCCCACACCCAAATAAAATAGTACGATTGTCTTGTGTGCTTTTTGTTGACTATTTGTTAATCCATCATTATTGATTTTAAATCATAATGCTGAAATACATAATAGTAGTGAAAAATTTTATGAACAAGAAAAATAATACACACCTGTTCTAATAGCCCAATAATTTCATCGATGCTTTTTGTTCTGTGGTTAAAAGGTATAATTGGCTGATTAGTAATGGTTGCTTTATACCATTCACGAACTGATGCATTGGCAACCTATGATAAAAAAACTGATGAAAAATAGAAAACATGTTTTGATTAGTTACTTCCATAGACACCGGTTGTTGATGTTTCAACAAAAAAACCTATCCAATTATTTTAACAGCAACCATTGGATTTATTAATGATTCACGTGATGTATCACCAATTGCACATTTAATTAAGCTTATTAATGATTCACGATTAATTTTGTACGTAATTGAACTTGCTGCAACTTCCTAAATTAATAAAAATAAAAATTTTCCTATTAAAAAAAGAAATGTTAAAAATTTACGTATACTTCTTCTGTATTTTCTACATCTCCATTACTCATCTCTCTACACATTTTTGTAATGCTTTGTCAATATTGAAGTGAGTATATGCTGAATAGAATGACTGTCTGTAAAGAAAAGCAGCATAACGAGGTTATGGGTTCATTCAAAGGTTACTAACGAACAGATTATTTTTCCTCCATATGTATGTTTTTATTGGACACATCGTCAACTTACTGTGTTCGTTTCTGTAGGCATATTGTATCGAAGTAATGTTTTAGCCGAATCAATAACAATTGAAGTAGTGTTTTAGCTGAATCAATAACAATTGAAGTTATGTTTTAGCTGAATGAATCAATAATGATCGAAGTGATGTTTAACAGTGTAAATGACGATCGAATAAATAGATTATTTAAATATTCTTTTTTTTTTCTATTACACGTAGTTAAGATAAAAATAGAGAACGAAAGAACGAAAGAGACGATCGTTCATGAAACATTCATTGTATTTTTCGACGTTTCACTCTCTTCTTTTACAAGATCATCGAAAAGAAAATATAACCCAATGGAATAAAAATAGGTCATATAAAGTGAACTAAACATGTAATCATAAAGAATGATGCTCACTTCACATACAAATTCTAAACGAATCAAATTTCGAATCCATATTTTACTAATTTTACTATTATCCAATTCTTTTTCTTTCTATGATGAATGAATAAAAATAATAAATTTAACAATA